CTCCGGCGTGAACGGCAGCTCCTTATCCTCACGCCGCTGATCGTTATCGTCCTCGCTGGCCTCATCCTCCTCGCTGGCCTCATCCTCCTTCTTCACCCCGGCCTCCTTCTTCACTTCCTTGCTGCTTCTCGCCTTATTCCTCTCTTTCTTATCTTCTTTGCTGCTCCTCGCCTTCTTCTTCTCTTTCTTCTCTTCCTTCTCTTCCTTCTCACCGCGGCCTTCCGGTGCACTCCGCCTCTCTTCCTTCTCACCGCGGCCTTCCGGTGTACTCCGCGACCTCGAACGCGATGAGGCCCCCGCCTCGGGCGGGGGAGGGGCGCGATGCTCACGGAGAACAGCTCCCCGATCGCGGCGGCGGTCGTCACGACGATCTCGACGATGATCTCCACAATGCTTGGTGTCACGATTCCCGCCTTCACCGCGCCGATCGTCGCGGTGCTTGGTATCACGATTTCCGCCCATCACGATCTTGAACATAGTTGCCCTGATCTCATCGAGATCCACCTCAGCCGCCGTACAAGGCTTCGACGTGGCCAGCTGCAGCCGCATGAGCCGACCCTAGACGAAGTCGAGAGCCTCGAAGCGGCCTTGCTTGAAGAAGATGGGCTTCTTGTTCGTCACACGCTCCACGATGTGATGGACCGTGGCAAGGTCAGGAAACTCCAACTCTACGCTGCGCCCCTTTGGGTGGGTGTTGGCCAGGATGCGATGGCAACGCACGCATGCATCCTCGTCCCCCTGATCCTCCCCGCGCATTGCAAGGGCGCGCGCACGTTCATCACTGCCCTGTCCGGGCCCGGGGCCATCGTCGGCGTCCCGGCGTAGACTTGGCGCAGGCATACTCTTGGGTCGAGGATTCATGACGATCCTCCCTGGAGCATCGGCTCGGACCTCTACCGAATGCCTCTGGGCAGGCACCGACTGGGGAGCGCGGCGCCATGGGGCGCGGCCACGACGCTCTTCGGCACTGCCTGCCATGCCAACCCAGTGGATGACCGGCCCATGCACCTGCCTTGGAACCGGCGGCTTCGCAGAGCTCCGCTGGTTGGGCGACGCTGGCTGGCCACTCTTAGGCCCGGTCTTGTTCTACGGCTCACGCTCGCCACTCCTCACCTTGGGGCACTCCGGGTCGCCACGCCAGTGGCCGGGCTGATCACAGTCAGCACACCGGCTGTTAGCCTTGCGCTGGTCCGTCGGCTTGCGACCAGCCTGGAAGGAGCCGCTGGCGTTGATCTTCTTGGGGCCCCGCTGCCGAGGGGCAACGAACCCGCGCTTCTGACGCTGTACTGCCGTCTTCTGCTTGGCCCTCCAGCCGGTCAAGAACGCCTCCTGAAGATCCTCCGGTGCCTCGTACTCCTCGTCGTCAGGCCCATCGTTGTCCGACGCCAGCTCCTCGTCGACCTCAGCGCCGTCCTCGAAGCGGGTGCCCTCGGCCCCTCCGGGGTCTCCGTCGTCCTGGTCGTCTGCTTCCTCCTCGTCGTGCTGCGCCTCCTCCAGGTCGCCGCCGTGTTCATCGTAGTCTTCACCGTTCTCCACCTCGTGCACATGCTGGCCAGAGCGTCCTCGAAGCACGCACGGCCTACGAGCCAAGGGAGGGTGCGGGTAGCGACCGCCCGAGCTCCCAGAGGAGCGCCCGTGCTCACGCTGCGCCGCCACAAACGGCGAGCGGCGAGGGAGCACCGAGCGCTTCTCGGCGTCATGCACCTTCGAGTAGGCTGCCTTCAGCACGACCTCCATCCGCAATTGAAGAGCACCTGCGCTCGCTCTCTTTGCGACAGCCCAGCACCACGGAGCATCTTGCTCGCCAGCGCGCGATCACTGATCGCTGAAGTGGGATCCTCGAGCTGCAACTCCATGCGCTTCTTGCGCAAGTACGTTGTCCAATCCATGATGGGCTGGCCTGCCCGACGGTGAGCGCGCTCCCACTCCTGTTGCACCTGATCCAGGCGCTCGTGGTCCATCTTCTCGAAGGCGTCATCGTAGATAGCGAAGATGGTCTCGAGCGTGTCCTCACGCCGGAGGTCCGACGCGTCCAGTACCTCGATAAGCTCCTTGGCCCGACCTGTCACCTGACTGTAGATGATCAGGCCCAGCTCCACGTCGGAGAGCTGGTTGAGGTTGCGGATGACCTCCACAGCCTTGCGCCACTCTCGGTACTTCTTGGTGCTAGTACCGACGGCACCGTCGAAGTCCGGGAGCTTCACCTGTGACAGCAGTAGGCGTGCACGCCTGGGACCGCTGTCGCCACGATCCGGCTGCATGGCCAGGATATCCCTCTGGGTCTCGGCGATCACGCGCAGGACCGCGTGCAGGTCCGGAGAACCTGCGCCGGCGGAGGGCATCGCCTCCGCGTCCGAGCCGCCGTCCTGGCTGCCGGCCATGGCGGCGCGCGCGGGTGGTCGCAGCCACCCAAGCAGAGCACGCAGTGCGTCCGCTGGAGCTTACGAGCTCCGCTACCAATGTCAGTGCAGTTCTTTTAGCTCGGACCGCGCGGCAGTCCAACTGCGGGTGCAGTCCCAGGGCCCTAGGACTAGGGCCAAAACGGCGGCGCGCAGCGTGCACGCCACAAACATGAAAAGCATGTGCATAATGCGTACAAGGCGGCACGGGCGGCAGAGGGGCAGGGGAGTGCACTCTTCACAGAAACAACAGCATGGTGGTACACTTGTGGGCGGGATGGGGACACGGGGGGCAATTTCCGGCCCGACCCTCTGGAGGAGGGGGTGGCACGGAGGAAGAGCAGAGGAGGAAGAGTAGAGGAGGGTTGCGGCTGCCCTCGGAGAGACAGCTGAATATGTCTTGCGGAGTGCGCGCGCGCATCCCCCCCTCTCAACAGGATTGTTGATCGTTTCACGACGCGATATTTGATTTCCTGAGGAATCCGATTGATGTCCTCAGGAGTCCTATGGATTTCCTGTGAAATCCGATGGATTTCCTTGGGATGACGACAGATTTCCTAAGGAATCCAATGGATTCTTAAGGAACCCAATGGAATCCCGAAGAAATCCTATGGACTTCCGAAAGGGAATTCCATTCCTCTCGCGCCCCCTTGAGTTGGGAGAAGGCATGCGCACTTGCGCAGGGCGCACCGCACCCTCCGCCACGAACTGCCAAAACTGTGGTGTTACTGTGATTCAACTCTGTTTTGACTCTTGCCTGAAACTCTGATTCATATCTGGTTTAGTTGAAACTCTGACATAGCTCTGGTCTGGAACTCTGACGTAATACCGATTTAGCTCTGATTCACATCTGTTTCCAGTGGTTGGGGACAGAGCCGCATCAGAGTTAAGTCAGAGTTCAGACTAGAGCTAAATCAAAGTTCAAAAAAATCCAAGATGAAACATAATTTCGGGCCAAGTCTGTATCACAATTGAATCAAACTGTTGTTGGAGTGTTCAGAGTTTAGGTGTTGACTCAAATCTGTTGAGGCTAGCTTGCCTCCAAAAATCCACACATATCTAGACTCTGTGGAGGCAAGTCCGGCGAATGCAAAATATTCGCACGAGGGCGTGCTTGTTTGCCAGACGCACTCGCCGGGAGAGGGGGCGAGGGGGCGAGGCGGCGGCGGAGGACGAAGGAGGCGAGAGGGAAGGCTAAACGCATGAATTATCAAACAGTGCGTGGACACACTCAGCCCATTGCTGTTTCGGTCTCCCGCGCCTACGTTTTGAAACCCACCTTCGTGGCTCAGAAGATCCAGGCTCGCAGGTTAAAGCCCTCAGCAAACTGCCGTGCGGGAGGGCGGCAACGGTATCGTACAGCTAGTGCGTTTGTTCGTCCCCAAATGTTTCTTGAACGTTTGCGGGTAGGCATCTTGCGGGTAGCAAAACGTGATCGGGGCCCTCCCCCCCGTCGGCGAGAGGGCCGCCCCGGGGGGGGGGGGGGGGGGCTTCCCGGGAGGACCCCCGGGGGAGCTCCCCGAGAGCGGCGAGGGGCCCTCCAAAAAGGGCCCGCGTCTCTCGGCGAGAGAGGGGGGGGGGGACGTGGAGCACAGCGGGGGCGCTGGAGCGCCGCCGAGACTCGCACCTAAGTTAGAGGCCTCCTAGATGGGGTCGGAGTAAGTGGTGTCGGAGGATCGCGCCGCATCGCAGATGCATCGGCGATGCATCGGCAATGCATCGGTGATGAACCAGCGACGCATCGTCGACGTCGGCGATGTATCTTCGACGTCGGCGTGGAGACAATCGGGCTCCGCATCGAGCCGCATCGGCGATGCATCGGCGATGCGGCGCCATCCTCCGACCCCATCTACTCCGACCCCATCTAGGAGGCCTAGATAAGTGGCGAAGAGTCCTAGCACCCTCCGCTACGAACTTACCTTTGTTGCTTACACGTCGGCGGCGAGCGAGGGGGGGGAAGTGAGGAGGAGGAGGCCGCCTCGGAAGGCGGCCGGGCTCCTCAAGACGCCCTCGGGCCTAGAGGTCGTGGTCGGTGTCTGCGGGGAAGACCCAGGAAGCTTCTCGGAGGGCCGGGGGACTCCCGAACCCTCTGAGAAGGCGCGCCCCCTCTCACTCCCCCCCCCTCGCTCGCCGCCGAGTCTCGAGAAGGCGCGCCCCGTCTCACCTCCCCCCCCCAGGCGCCCCCCCGAGCCGTTCTTGTCGCGGCGGCGGCGGCGATCGCGCGGCGCGGGGAGGCGCAGGTCGGGATGCGCACGAGGGCACAGCGGCACCACGCAGGAGCCGGAGGGGGGGCGGGCACGGCCGCGGAGATGGGGGGGGGACTGCGGGCGGGCGAGGCGCTCGGAGCCTGCAGGCCATGCTCGCGCACTGCCAGACCGGGGACAGGAGAGCCTCCCTCGAGAACAGGAGCCCCTCCGCCCGCCCGAAGGGAGGAACACTCGAGGGTGCCCTCCCCCAGGGCGCACGAGAGCGTGCAACGGGCACGACCGTACACGCGATGGTCGAGAGGGCCACTGTTGAAGTCGCTGGGGGGGGGGGGAAGGCGGAGCCGACCCGCGCGCGCGCGCAGGCGGGGGGGGGGAGCGAGGAGCAACGCGGCGCCTCCAGCCAGCTGTACACCGCGGCGACCTCTCCGGAGGCAGGTCGGACGCCGCCCCCGGGGCGGGGGGGGAGGGGGGTCATCACTCCGCGCTCCCTGCTCCTCTCCCGATCCCCTCCTCTCTCCCTCCCTCCCCTCCGCCCCCCTCCCCTCCCCTCCCCTCCCTCCCCTCCCTCCCCTCCTTCTGCCTCCCCCTGCCTTCTCATGGCTCCTCCCCCTCCAGAGCGAGGAAAAAGCATCCTGTGCACGCAGGTCCTCCCTCCCCTTCCTCCCCTCCCTCCCCTGCTTCCCTCTCTTCTCCCCCTCCCCCCCTCACTCCATCCCCCCATACATCTCTCAGTCCCCTCCCCCTCCCCCTCCAGGGCACAGGGTACAAGTCTCAAGCCGCTCAAGCCGATAGGAGTAATCGCACACAGTTGACTCTTCAGCGGCGGCAGGAGCAGCTCGAACAAGCCTGTCGACATCTAAGAGTTGAAGCACCATCACCGCGGGCTTCAGCCTTCTGCTCGAAAGCATGGCCTGTCAAGATCGGCGAAAATTGGCTAATGTTGTGTTGGCTGCGAGGCGGATTGCGCCACGATGTTGAGGCTGTGCTTCGCCGGTAGATCCCAAAGACTGGATAATCACACCTAGTGCTCCAGGCGTACTCCACAACGCGATTGGACAAAACTGGGCCCCAGCGGACGAGATGACATCCGACGGATCCTGCTGGCCACGAGACCAAAGCTTTGCCAGACCTCCCTGGGCACAACAGACAACTAATGAGGATCAAATGGCTGAAGCTGTCGACATGGCCCAGAAGGCCGCTGGATTGGAACTCTCGGATACCCTGGCGGTTCCGGATATCTGTCAAGCAGCTCACACCACGAACCCCAAGACTGAGCTTGTAGGCCATGGAGTGAGGTGCTCACCACAAACAGCTGTGGAGAGACGACCGTGTTTTTGATCCCCTCCGCGGCCCCAGGGGCGCAACATCGCCAGACTCCCCTCCGACTGACTCCACCGATGAAGATGATCCGGCTGACGTCTGGGGCCCAGGTCTTGAGCAGGGATCGACCGTCCCGGCATCCCGAAGTCCTACCACGAAATGCTCTTAGAAGCCCAAAATGATCTAAGAACAAAAAACTATGTTCTTAGGACATATTCCCGATGTGTTAAAACAAGACAGTCCCAGCAAGAAATGTTCTAAGAACATTTCCTGGAAACCACAAAAGGTTCTTAGAACATGGTTTGGTAGGGCTATAGGCGAGCCAGGACGCTTCGCCACTGCTTGAAGGTCGGGTTGCACCAGTGCAACCTCGGGGACCTCAGAGGGCTGCGCGTGCCAGCCGTGCCATTGCAGTGCTGCACGCGCATGGCACGCGAGGGGTGGGGGGTGGAGGGAGGAGCAGGAAAGAGGAGGGGAGGCAAAGAGATGCTACGGAATGTTGTTCGCTGATCCGCGCGGCTCCTCGACCAAGGAGCCCGGCGACGACTCTCCGCGTAGCTAGAACCTGCGCAGTGCGTCGCCCCGCGTTCGGCAGGCCAGGGGAGTGCGCTCGCGGGGCTCTCATCCCAACCAGGAGTATTGTTCCGGGCAAACGAGGAGACACTCGGCTCTGGAAAGGCACGACAGTACCCATGCCGCGACTCCACGGTCCTCTCCAGGGGTGCACTCTGACCAAAATGTCGATGAGAGTCCAGCCGTGGCGACGAGGGACAGGTAGCGGTATCGGTACCCGTGCCTCCTCTGAGGTGCGCGGGATGCATGTCTTACATGTTGTCTAATATCGCACCACCGCAGCACATCGGAGCAATTACAGGCACCTGGACATGAATTGAAGCCCTGACTAGCAATGCGGAAAAGTCTGACGGCGGGCCTGCACGACATGTGGCGGGCGCTGAATGGGGCGCAGCTCAGTGCATCGCCCAAGGGCGTTGTACGATGCCGGCACATGGCTGGCGCCAAGTATGTCACTCGTCGTTTGCATATGGCTGGCTCTGGAATTTCGGCGTGCATTAAGGTAGCGAAGCGCTTATATTTTGAAGGGAAACGTCATGCTCGACAGACTCGGGTCGAGCTTGCTCTGGAAGCCGAAGCTATGCACCGCAGCATTGCTGTGGAATCGTGTGCCCATTAGTTGCACGGAGTTCCTCAAAGTGAAACTGTTCAGCGTCGCGGCCAGATTGGGGTGGGGCAGCATGATGTGGATCTGGAAAAGGGGGGACTTTGTCTTGCCACTTTGCCAGACTTGGGGAGCCCTGGACGGGGCCCCAGATTTTTCCCTGCCACGGGCCTGTCTGGAGCTGTGGCTGCGCCAGTACCCCGCCATCCCGACGATATGCCATGGCGTTGCCCGCGCCTGGCCAGTCCTGGCTAGCAAAATCTGCCACACTCCCGAGGGTCAACGCTCACGGACAGTCGGAGACCTCACGGGGGCAGCCATCCTGGACTTGCTGGAAGCTGGATGGGACAGTGAGGCGCCCCGGCACTGGAGAGCCCCGCCTGACCTGGATGGGGACCTGGAGGTAAGGCGTCCTCCCCCGTCGGAGCTCTCTTAGAATCTGATCGCGGATGGTCACGTTCCCCTCGGGCAACATTCGAAAGGGCGCTTTCCGCCGCTGCTGGCAAAGGGGAGTATCAAACCCCAAAATAACCGAGGGAAGGTGGGATCCGGAAACCCCACCAATTGTTCGAGGGGTCCTCCTCCTCCTCCTCCTCCTCCTCCTCCGACGACGACGACGACGACGACGACGACGACGCCGACAACCGACGACGACGCAAACGCCGACGACGACGACGACGCCAACGCCGACAACCGACGCCGACGCAAACGACGACGACGACGACGACGACGACGACGACGCTTCCGCCGCCGCCGACGTCGACGCCGACGCCGACACCGACGCCGACGCCGACGGCGACGCCGACGAGGCCGCCGCCGCCGACGACGACGACCGCGACGACGACGACGACGACGACGACGACGACGACGACGACGGCGGCGACGACGACGACATCGACGACGACGGCGACGCACGACGCACGACGCACGAGCACGACGCCGATGCCGACCCCGACGCCAACGCCGACAACGACGACGACGCCGCCGCCGTCGCCGCCAACGACGACGACGACGACCGCGACGCTGACGACAACGACGACGACGATCGAGCCCCATTTGGATGCAATGAAAACTGAATTGAGTCGAGCGAGAATTAGAAGGTGAGTCGATCCGTAACCGGATTTTCTTACAACGGGATCGAGCCCGAATGCGACTTCGTAAAACATGGACCGGGCCTTGGCGAAATTGTACTAAGACTTAAGACGGGGTCAAAGTATATAAAGATGGTGCTTGAATGCTGTGCGGTACAAATGATAGAAGCATCATTGAACCTGGGTCCAGCTCTGTGATGCTCTCACAAGCTGGACCCAGCCCAATACGACTCCATTAAAACTGGATCGACCAATAACAGGATGCTCGCAGAAAAGAAATCCAGCAATGGCGAAAGATTGCGAACACTGGATCGAGCCCGAGTAGGACTCCATAAAAGCTTGATCGAAGTCCGATAGGAATCTGAAAAAGGTTTTTAACAAAAAAAACGAGCCACCAAAACAACTTGACTCACCCCTAAAAGGATGCTAATACAATTGGGCTGAACCTTACTAGGTTTCGGTTGAAGCTAGATCGCGCCCAATATAAGATTCGAAACGAGCTGGATCCACTCCTATATAAATTGTGTCGGACGTAGATACAGCCCGGAGGATTCTTCTAGACCTGGGTCTCCACCTACGGAGACTGTGTTCGAGCTGCGTTCCAGCACATTGGAACTCAATGAGCGCTGGATCGAGCCGTCACAACATGATTCGCCAGTGGGGCTCTGGCACACACCTGGTGCCACAAACGTGGTGCCCCAAGGATCACGCAGCCCTGAAAAGTAGAAGGTCTGGAACTGTCTCAAGGGTCCGGAAGCCCGCACGGACCTCAGAAAATATGTTTTCGAGCCGTTCTCTTCTTCGAGGGCACCAGTGGCGCTCATCGGGGACTCCATCGTTGATGGCGTCGTCGTCGTCGCCGCCGCCGTAGTCGTCGTCGCCGCCGCCGCCGCCGCCGCCGTCGCCGCAGTCGTCGTCGACGTCGCCGTCGTCGACCGAACCGAGCCGAGCCGAGCCGAGCCGAGCCGAGCCGAGCCGCGTCCCCGAGCGCCCGCGCCGACATCGCCGCCGAGTCGACGCGGCACGAGCAGCCTGCCGCACTGTCTGCGAGCGGGCGGGGCGGGAGCGCGCGCGGGAGCCGAGAAAGGGCGCTGCAAAGAGCACACGCACGCGCAAAGAGCGGCCTCGGACTGGATCACCTTGCACTCCCAGCAGCACGAGGCGTCGGCGGGCACCTCCCCCGCACTGGGCTGTCGCGGCCCACTCCCCGAAGCTGCGGCTTGAGGCTGCCAGCTGGTCGCTCTTGGTTCGCACTGCGGCTGGTACGACTCCAACCCACAGACGCCGCCTCCAACTCAGTCTCGTCCTCCGCCTCCTCCCCCCAACCGCCTCCTCCTCCACCTCCTCGTCCTCCTCATCCTCCTGCTCCTCCCCCTCCTCCTCCTCCTCCTCCTCCTCCTCCTCCTCCTCCTCCTCCTTTTTCCTCATCATTCTCATCATCACCGCCACCATCGTAATCATCAGCACCGTCATCATCATCACCAACATCATCGGCATCATCACCGTCACCACCACCAACATCAGCAGGATAAGAACCACCATCACCATGACCATCAGCATCACGATCACGGCCGCCCCCGTGAACATCAACATGACTATCATCACGATCGTCTCCTTCACCCCATCATTGTCATCCTCCTCATCATCACCATCATCACCACCACCAGCATCACCATCACAAGGTTCATCACCATCACAATCATCACCGTGATCGGAGTAGATGGTCCCCGACATGTCGTGTTCTTTACTTTTCGGGCCCTCGCCGCACTGCCTGGGACAGGTTGCATGTTGTCTCACTCGCAGGTGTTGCGGCACGCGGCGGGGTGCAGCCACACTCGCCACAGTGCTCTGCGAGGCCCAAGCCGGTGCTACACACCCGCGTGGTCAGCTCCCCGCCTGTGCCCACGTAGACATTGATTGGATTTCGACCACTTCCGACCATGAACCATCAGCATCCTGCACCTGACGAGGGTCTTTTTGGCAAAGGCGCAGGGCCTATCCCCCGCGGGCTCCAGGTGTTCCTCGTGCGCAAGCGACATCGGCACCAGGCAATCTATGGGCTCGGCCGATCCATCTGGTGCCACTACATTGTCTCCCCCTTCGCCGCGGGTGCAATGCTTTGGGTGGAAAAACCACCTCTGCGCCGTTTCAGCCTCGCAAACCTACCTCGCGCTATTGCTTTCTACTTACGGTGTTCAACGTCAGGCTCCAACTCGCTCTCTCGAGAGTGTGGCTGGGCATCGTGGACAGATGGACATCGTCAAGGTACTATTTGGGCGATTGGCGGCTGTATGGTGTCAGCGCTGATTGGTGTTTCTTGATCCCCCCCGCCAGAGGCACCAACGCTATGGTCACCGCGCGCGTGGGGACAGGCCTATCGTCGTCTCGCTCGTGGGCGGCGCCATCACAGTCTTTACGATTGTGGGTGGCGGCCTCGTGGTCTTCATGCTCGTGGGCTGCAGCTTCGTTGTGTTCATATTCGTGGGCGGCAGCATCGTTGAGATCATGTTCGTCCAAGCATACGCAACTCCTGTGGCGCTCACGCTCGTGAATATTAGCTTCGTGGCGTTCAAGGCCGATGGCGGAAGCTTCGTGGTGATAACGCCTGTGGGCGTCTGTGTCGCGGTGTTCACGCTCGTGGGTAACCGCTTCGTGGCGTTTTCACTCATAAACGGCAAGATCGTGGCGTTCACGCTCATGGGCGGCAGCTTCGTGGTGTTCAAGCACGTGGGCGGCAGCTTCGTCA